CGGGGGGGGGGGGGGGGTGCAGTAGTTAACTCCAGTTAGCGCACACAGCTCTTCCTACATGAGCTAGCACACCCTGTCTAAGAATGACCGCATAGCGAAACAACACTCAACCTATATAGAAAGGTCTGATAAACAGTACAGAGGAATTAGTATTGTGCTTGAATTAACATGGTGATCTGAAAAGCAGATGGTGGTCTGTTATAACTTGAGCTGCTTCATCCCCACTTGTGTTACTAATGACACTATCATCAGCCTTACAACTTCACTACATTCTGCCTCAGTCAGTCCTCCAACCAGACAGGAGCTGTTTTCAATACTACTTAACTTGAGCTAGTTATTTTTGTGTGTGCCGGGAAATCAGGCCAAGAGCAAAGCTCAAGTTATACGTTGAGCCAACAATGCAGTGAAGATAAAACCTAAGTGTTCATGGGGTGCTTGGATCACCTGAGACATAAGTAAAGAGAAATATTTTCAAAGACCTATGAAAGCACTGAGATATGAATGGGCACATCTACACTTGCACTTTAATGCTCATTAGCCTATTTTAATGTATATTAAAGTAACAAAAAACATGCTCTTTAGGTAATGCACATTAAAATAGGCTAATGCACCTTTTTCTAGTACCTCACAATGAAAGTACTAGATTTGATGTGCATTACCTAAAATGCATTAAAGGACATGTAGATGCACCCAATAAGTTCTTTGCTTTACAAGTCCACATGCATTTATCAGTTTCTATCAATTATGAAGGACAGCTTAGGAAAAGAGGAAGCCAAAGCAAGTTTGGCTGGAAGAGGTTCTTCAAATTTAGAAACACCTTATACCAGAGAAATATAGGCAAAAGTAGAAAAAAAGGAACTATTTTCTGTGTAAAGGTTCTTCTTGAATACATGCCATCTTTTTTTGTTGCAGGCTGCTACCCAACCTGTTCACCGGACAAACCATATTTTAATGAGCATACGATGAACTGTACTGATACCTGTGGATGTTATGATGATCTAGGAAAGTATGTAGAACCAGGAAAGACCTACTACTTACGGGACAATTGTCAGTTATGGTAAGATTTAATAACTAGGATGACCATGTGAAGGGGAAAGAATCAAAGCACTCTGAAAATTGTATGCTCCTGCCCCTATGGGAACATGACAGACCTTGGTTTTCTCTGTTTAAAAATTGCAAAATCTCATAAAAATGGCAAAATCTCTGATTTAAAACCCCCAAATCTGCATTTTTCCATAATTAAAATGAAGCACCACTATATATATATATAGGTGTTTCATTTTAATTGTGTGTGTGTGTGTGTATATATATATATATATATGCATGTGCGTATCAGTTGAACACGATATTTTATTGATATATTTACAATTCTGAAGCAATTTGGAAGACTACCAGTGCTTCCATCATTATAATAAAATACATTCTAAGTACTTATATATTTTGGCATTTGATTCTGGTTTTTCTAAGGAGCTGAGCAGCTTTATAGGAAGTCGTTACATAAACAGATTTGTTTCTGTGGCATATTTCAAAGTCATCTGCAGTTTATATTAATTATAAATACTGTCTAGTATTTGGACATTTTCCTTTTTCTTACCTAGATGAGAGGAGGGTGAGGAATGTGTAGTTTCTCTCCAGACTTGTGTCTGCAGCCTCCCATGATCCTTGAGTTCATGGTTCTGCAGGAGGTGGGGCCTAATGAGATGTCTGTGGCAAAAAATGGCAGGAAGAAAAGCTGACATGAACTAAACATTCATGAGAGAGCATAAGAAAGGGGCTGACATGATCAGAAGAAACTGGGGGAGGAGTGAATCCTCTTTTAAGCCTCACACCAACCCATGCTGGCCCCTTGTCAGAACTGGCCAGAAAGAAGAAGAAAGAGCTTCTAGTTGGGCCATGAAGAAGGCACTGTGAGCAGCAAGTAGTGCCTCTTCCTAACTAGTCAGTGTTTGAATGATAGCTGCTCATCTCCTTAGAATAGGAGTGCAGAATACAACAAATGCATTTTTAAATTCCTTTCTGAGCATTAAGCTAAAGGATTTACATAGAAAGTGGTTGAAATACAACAGAACAGAAAATCACTTCAGTAGAACTTAGTTTCTCGCCAGCAATATGAAAGGTTGTGTTTGACAATAAGGGGTCATATTTGCACAGGCAGCCTGAACACATCCTTTGGTGTTTGCCAGGGATTCAGGTTTTCTTTCCCTTACTGAAGCATCCTTTGCCCCAGCCAGCTGGGGCAATGTCTACATGTGCACTCTTGCACACAATAAAACTCTGCAGCAAGATAGTACTTGTAGTTTACAAATACTGCCAGCTATCCAAAGTCTGAATTTTCATCAAATAATGACTCAGAGGGCACATCTACATGAGACATTTACTGCACAGTTGACTAACTGCACAGTAAACATCTCGGCATCTACACATGCACCCTTATTAGGGCACATTCAACTAATAAATTCTACAGCAGAGCAGTATTTGTAAACTACAAGTACTACCTTGCTGCAGAGTTTTACTGTGTGCACAGCACACATGTAGATATTGCCCCAGTTGGCAAAGGGTGCTTCAGTAAGGATCTAGCCAGCAGGCAGCCCCTGTGCTGCAGCACCCACATGTCTCAGACAGCCAGGCCCCAGCATGTGGAGCCTGGCTGGAGCATCCCTGCCCTGACAGGCCTACCCCTCAAGTCCCTTGCTAGCCCAGGCTGCTCTAGCCAGACTCCACATGCTGTGACCAAATAAACTCTGAAGCAATATGCTCCAGAGTTTATTCGGGTGCATTAATCACATGTGTAGATATGGCCAGAATAACCTTATTCTGGTTTATGATTAGTCTCTTATAGGAATTCAGTGAAAATGCCATAGTAATAAATGACTTCACCATCTCTCATGCATATTCACTCTCACTTTTCTTCTGTATGTTCTTTCTTTCAGTAAATGCACACAGGAAGGCAAAATAAACTGCGTGTACGAGGAAACAGGTAAGGTGATAAAGATTTATTCCTGAAAAAAACAGATGGAAAATGTCTCTTTCTCTTTACATGTCACTGACACATCATTTTACTTTTTCTGATTTACAGCATGTTACTGCATTTATGAAGGGAAAAAATATGAGTATAATGAGGTCATTTACAACACCACAGATGGAACTGGAGGCTGCTTTAGTGCAGTTTGTGATGTGAATGGAACAATAACCAGACATATATATATATGTAATACTCCTACAACCACACATCCATTTAACTTCAGTACACCTACAACTAGTGTTACAGGTATATCTGAGTTTTTATCAGACTAATGGAAAAATCTTTGCATGTATGAGAAGCATTGTGATTTCTGCAGCTAACTACACATGCCTTCCCTGTAAAATGTTGAATCCTTCTCGGGAAATAAGACCCTCATCTGGTAGCTCCATTCTTGTGAGGGTCAGTTAAATAAAGTGGGCCAAGGTATTGCAGCAACTGTGAAAAACAACCCCCACTATAGAGAATTTCCTCAAACCAAAGGCAGTTTAGCATTTCCTCTTCGTGCCTTGGACAACCCTACCTATCCCAAGCAGAGAAAAGAGCAGCTTTCAAGCTAGTTCACAGGGATTACTAGTCTTGGACACCATATTTAATACTCCTCCCTTTACATGTTAGTGGAAAGCAATAATAAATAATGAATGTAAAATAAACATATTAAAGCATCTCAAAGCTAAGATATTATTTATGAGGGAAAGCTGAAGTTATCTAAAAATGTCCTTTGACACTTGTTGAAACTACTCAAGTTTTTGTAACCAAATTTCCTCCAAACACCTCATATACTAGTCCTCCATGGTCCTTATATTAAAAGCTTTTAGAATCTATGAACGATGGGTAATTTGATCATTTCAATAGACTAGTAGGGCCTAAAATACAAAAATACATCTAATTAACCAATATAATTTTAAAAATCTATACAATATCTAGAATGTGAAGACAACCAACAAATTCTGTTCTTTTTACAACAGGAACAACAGCTATACCAACTGCTACAACAGTATGTGTCCACAGAGTATGTGAATGGTCAGAATGGTATGATACCAGCCATCCAACATCTGCTTCCAGTAATGGAGATTATGAAACATTTACAAATCTAATAAATAAAGGACACAAGATATGCAAAACACCAAATGATGTTGAATGCAGAGCAGCACAATATCCAGACATGTCATTAAAAGACCTGAACCAAAAAGTAGAGTGTAGCAAAACCCATGGACTCATATGTAATAACAAGGACCAACAGCAACAAATGTGCTACAATTATGAAATAAGAATACAGTGCTGTACCTATATACCATGCAACCCTTTGACAACTACCCCAGCTGGAACAACCATGGCATCTTCAACCTTACCGGTTACATCATTTCAGTCAACAGAAGTTTCAAAACCAACGCACACAATAGGAACAGAAGGACACAGTAAAAGTACAGAAAGCCAAACTTCATTTTCATACAAGACCACAACAGCAGTCACCTCACCCGGTTCTCCTACCCCAACCTCCTGCGAGCCAACCTGTACCTGGAC